TAATTGAATAATATTTAAGTGTTTTGCTTGTTTTGGTAATAGGAATTATATTTGAAAGACTTGGAACTGATTATTTACTTCGTCTGTCAATTATCAGTTGGAGAAAAAAAGTTTTCAAAGTTGATGCCAATCATATCATATCTAAAATATCAATTTAACTGAATTTACAAAAAAGCCAAAAAACAAAAGTGACATTTTACATATAATTTTTTTTTAGTTTGTTAAATGAAAAGGCTTGAAAAATATTTTTGCAAACTGATAAATTGATAGTACGTCAGATCAATCACGGCGCTTAGCATAGCATTCGTAAATGCTCAGCCAAGGTCTTTCACCATCACAAAAATGATACTTTCAGTACAGCTTTATATACTGTCACAAATTGCACTACAAATTGCTACTGGCTACAAATTTACATGTAAAGTTTTTGTTCTCTGTTAACATGTCTGACAAATCAACGATGACATTGTAATTGTCTACTTCACTGATTGGGAACAGATAACTATATAGCTATTTCCGAAAGTTAACTGGTTCCGCAAGATCAAGTAGATCTTCCTGTTGGATCAGATTAAGACACAAGTGTGCATGTAAATTATTATAGAAATGAGAGAATTGATACACATATACCAAAAAAATCAATATGCCGGTTTTAGACCAATTATGGCACGGCGCCTAGCAGAACAGTTGTGAAAGCATAGCCACAGAAAATGGATTTCCATGAAAATTAGGATGAATCTGGAGGAATGCTGATTTTAAAAGTAGATAGATTCTATTTGATGACAATGTAATTTTGGGGAGTACAGGACGGGGAGGCGGTATGTACAAGAAACAAAAGTATTTCTCGAACAATAATATTTCGGATGCAATTGCTTTTATTACGTATAAGCAGTATGTAGGGACGGAATTTTAAAAAGGTCCTGTAAACACAGTATAAAAAAAAGTTTTATATATGTAACATGATGCTGTTAGATTCATATTTTCAGGAGTTCTGACAGTTCTTTTGAAATGGTCTCGATAACCAGATGCGATGGAAGTGAAATCACAGAATCTCAGGATGCTGTAAGAAAAATTGTCAGTGGAATAAATACCGTTTATGGAATAGTGTATGCTATGCCAGATTTCATAGACATAGACCCTGGGCTTCCTTATTGCTCCTACGGTACCACGGCTTCATATTTACCAGTTTAATCTTAACAAATAATAATGTTTTCGTAACCAAAAACAGTTTCGTTCATTTCCTTCCAAAATGAAATGTCGTACTATTTAGGAAGATACAATTCTTCAAAAACAACAATATCTTTTATATTATTTTTAAATCCTTTGAAATTGATCAAACTTTATATTTTCGTGAGCATAACTGAAAAAATATTAATTGAAGAGATATAAATTTGAAACTTTACAAATTGATACACATTTAGAAAAATTGCAGTAATTAATCAAAGAACAGAAGTACAAACGGGCTACTGTATATCTTTGAACATATCTTCAAACTTTTAAACTTTATCTTTATTAAAATGATTTAATGACACGTGAGAAGTCATATTGTTTATAATTTTGTTGTTATTGTTTTATTTAAGTTTCAATTCTGGCTAGATATTTTGCATTTGCATATTTCGATTTGTTTTAGTTATTTAAATCAAATAATTGATTATTTCTTTATCTACAGATTACAATGCAAGCGTATTTGGTGAGTTTTTTCAATGTGAACGAGACGAGATAATCATACCAGAGTCGATGATTTGTATTTATGCCGTAGATGCCAGCGGTTACATGACAGGGTGTAGATCTGGAGACCATTTACAAAATTGTGGTAAAGAACATATTTATCTGATTATATCAATAATATGTTCTTATTTCAAAATATATGAAAACAAGATATTTTGTGTCCGGTCATATTCCCGATAATTTAACAAACGTGTAAACCAGTAAGCGGAATGGGCAATTCTGTCTTATTTCGGAGGGAGTAATACTGCATTATTTCGGAAAGGGGAAGAAAATACATGATGTAAATTTGATTTTAGGGAAACATTGCATGTTAAAGAATTTTCCTTGGGAAATGATTAATGGGTATTGAAGGGGTTTAAAATAACCTTTACTTTAAAGGGGAAAACCGTGATTTTCCAGTACAGTGGCCGGAGATGAGGCACTTTTTTAGAATTTACTATTCCAAATGGGTGAAAAACCCGTACTGGGATTTGGTGACCCGAAGTGAAAGTGCATGATATTCTTCAAAAGACTAAATTCTTGTATTAGCGCCATGGGTTTGCCCCGACTTTCTCTTTTACAGTTTAATTCAGATTTTATATGGAATAAATACCAGTCATAGTCTTTAGTAACACGCAGTTACTGAGAATTCTTTTAAATTGCGATCTCATTTTTATTATTACGTTCTCGAAAGTTATGATATAGCCTATTTCAAAGTTTCAAAATATAACTATTATGATTTGCACACAAAAAGGCAACCGTCTGAATTCCCTTTATCACTATTGCCTTTTAGGACATGAGGTAGCCAAATGAAATACCATTTGGCGTAGAAATGAAGACATTTGAATATGTTGAGTACAATTCTTCTTGACCTTAAACTCTTAATTATCTTTTTATTTCCCATTAGGCTTATGAGATCACAAGTTTGCCTCTCAAGAATCTTATTTAAATGTATTAAACAATATTTTGATAATGAATTTGGAGCAAAAATGTATAAAAATGTTACTGATATCTAGATTTCTATCAAAAATAACTTGACAAATGGCCAAAGAAAAATATAAGCAAATTGGGGTTCATGATACTGAAGCAAAAACAGTACACCTAAAACAAAAAGAAACTTTCTTGTAATTTGATATTGTATTGTGGGGCTAAATTTAACAAAATATGAATATAAAGGTTACAATAGAATTGAGAAACAAAATAGTTTTTTTGTTGTTGTTCTTTTTTTATAATAATTATCAGTTTTTTTTTTCAGAAAAATTTCTGTGTCCTGAAAATACAGTGAAATGTCCTGGAAGTTACTGTATTGAGCAGAGATTTCTATGTGATGGGCATAAAGAATGTCCTGGAGGAGAAGACGAACAAGATTGTAGTAAGTGATCAACATTTATAATTTTGAACCGATTAAATGTGGAAACTATATGGCACAACATTTTATTATAAGTTGACATTACGTTATCTATTGTCCTTTTCATTTAAGTATATCAATGCAGTTAATATTCAAGTAGTTTGAATTGTTTCAATCGATGCAAAGTGATTAAAATACGCCGTAACCATTTTTTTAGAAAAAGGTGCATTATTATTTCAACGTGTAAAAGTCAGACCAGTAACGCAGGAATGTGCGAACTAACGCAAAAGTAATGCCGAATCTGTGCAATGCATGGTTAAGACGAATAACACGGTAAGTAACCGGACCAAAATATTTAATTGCAAATCGAACTTAAAGAAACGAATAAGCTTTAGCAGTCATTGTATTTCGTCGAAATGTTTATTTTCCAAGATCATTCATGAGAATGACGAGATGATTAGAGTACATGTATTGCTGACGTTTTTTATATTTTGTGTATATCGATATGTCTAATAAAAACTCTCGTCAGGTCGTCATTTCCACGAATGATCTTGAAAAGTAAACATTTTAACGGAATCACTATAATGAGGTTAGGAATATAATGTCTTAGAAATGAATATGCATATTCATTTCTTTCTATTTGGTTCATTTACTTTCCGTAGTGCACTTTTAGGGATTATAATTGGCCGGCTCTGCTTGTCTTTTGCACAATTCCTGTGTCATTTGCATATTCCTGCGTTACTGGATATACGCGATGAATAAGGTGATGAAATTATACGAGTTAAGCTATGAAATGGATTGTTTCATCAAGAAAAATATTGTTATTGCCTCTTTATTTTATTTAAAAAGCAATCCATATAAAATCGAATACATTTCAATTTGATATTACGTCTAGCATGAAATTTAACCAGAACCATTACTTATTTGTTTAAAGAACATTTATATAATTATTCTGCCTACGAGACAGTTCTTTCATGGAATATATGTAGAAGTTTCATTGGTGATTTTAAAATTACAAACTCAAACAAGTAAAGTAATATAAAGGATCTTTTTGAAATGGTTTACGCGTCTATTTTAATTTATGTAAATTATGTAGTTCTGAAAATGAACTACATTTCTCATTGAGTTTCACAAACTTTTAAGTTCTAAGTGCTCTTTTGTTTTCTTGTTATGTGTTTTAAATATTTCAATTTTGTTTAACTTTGCTTCCTTCCACAAATTGTTTTACATTGCTTTTTACATCTCATTATTGAGTTATAAATTTTGTTCAAAGTAACAAGACCACCGCCAACGTTGACGATTCGATTCCGTAAACACATTCGATTGACAATATCGAAAACGCAAAACAAATTAGTAGAATATTGTTTCGTTACGGTCCAGCTATTTTGGTACCAAGCCCCTTTTATCTTCCTTAAGTGAGGTAACGTGTGCAAGACCTGATGACTAATAATCGTGCCGGACTGTAAGGAACAATACTGTATTCACGAACAAACAAACGATCACAGTAAAATAATGTTCTTTGATTAAATATAAATTGTTAGGACTAGGGGGGCTGATGAAACTTGTTTGAGTCAGCTGTCAAAAAAATTTCTGGAAACAAAGTTATTAGGAAGCATTAATCACAACAAAATTACAAGAAGACTCGGTTTGATTGAGTCTGCGTAAAGCCTATATATATCTATTTAGCTTCAATTTATTTATTTATTTAGCACTGTAATAGTGGGCTTCTCTGTATAAATCAATATGGCTATGCCACTGAACTTTGTAGTAATTCGTTTCTTCTTGAGATACGCCAGTTTAATCTAACAATTGAGTCACAAACAAGGAAGACTGTTCACAGTTTACTTATTTTAATAAGTGGCAAACTGTCAATTGATTGAAATGTCAAAAAAAAAACAGTTTTACATTAACATCAACACATGTATATGCAAGATGATAAATCAGTCTTAGATATCTTAACACCTATAAACTACGCATAAATTATGGCCGCGACTGCCGAGTAATTTCCCTTCAAAGTACAAGGTTTGGTCGAGTAATTGGCCATAAAAGTGTAAAATAAATATTCAACTTAAAAGAATGACATCTTAGGCCAGTTATATGGCTTAAAGAAAGAACACATGTATGTAAACTTTACCGTAAGGTTACGAATTATGGACACTTTTCTGAACTATTTGCAAAATGAGGGAACTCTATATAATAAGTTATATCATTCCTATGACAAATTATTTTAATTAATTATAGTAATGAATCAAATAAAAGCATTCAGCTTACAATCCTACAGGCAACTCATTTTCCACTCAAAAGTTTGAATAATGTTAAAAAAAATGTCCCTACCTCATCCATATTTATAACTTGACCACATTCCTAAACAGAGAACCTACTCCAAAATATTTTACTCAAATGAAGGACTTTTTTGTAAATCTGCCTAAATTTTCTCGAAAGTATATTGACTGATCTTGTCAAATATTAAATAATTTTACTTTGTAGTTTTGACTTTATAAAACTGAAAGATTCAGTTACTGTATTGCAGCCAATAATTGATATCAATAAACAATTTCTCACAAAAACGGATCTGAGAGATACATGAATGATGATATAAAAATATATAAAAAAAAAAAGTTGACCCTTCCGAGGTTGGAACACCGCTCCTACAGTCAACTGTAATGAAGGTACATGTATTTTGAATACTTTTCAAAGCGGAGGTAATGCATATAAGGGAATATACCCTAACTACGAAGCCCCCGCCTGTATACTATTATAATAACCCCTCCTTCATCTCGTACGCTGTTGAATCCTCTGTAGTTTATACAATATATAGCATGCCGAATGTCTGACTTGAAATCACGTAATTTAAGTCTTTTTTCTATCCATAAATTATCGCGTTCTAGTATTAAGAGATAAAAAGGCACGTCAGTGAGGAAACTAAAGGCCGTTAGAGAATATTATCATTAAGGATACCAGTAAGTCACGCATGAAACGTCGTTACAAAACTTTTTCTTTGGAGTTTAAGTTTACTAACTGGGAAATTTCGCAACTAATACAGATCGACAATTTCTTCACCAATTTCTTTTTTTTGAAACTTTGATCAAATCTACAAAGTATTGCATTACATACGTATAATAATTTAGAGTTTACAAAAATGTGTATTAAGACAACATTTTACCTTTGCTCACACTCAAATTCGGCGACATGCACTCCCTCGGAAATAATGTGAAAGTTATTACCATATATCCTAGAAAGAGGTAGATGTGCTGTTTTCCAGACGTGGTATAGCTTTTACTGACTAGGTATATTCAAAGTTTGTTTTGAAATAAGCGTGCATCGTTTCATATGTTTAGTTATAAGTGTCATGCAATTAAAAAAGAATATATAAAGATGCTAATTAAATAACGTGAACTTATGTGTTGTTTTCATATTTCGAGTAAGTTTTAACATAAAGTGTTCCTGTTATTTAATAAGAACTTACTTTTTTAAAATTCAGGACAAAATATTCAACTGCTGTTATACGCTAATGTGGGTGGGTATATATAGTTTCTGCATAAAGTGTCCTTTCATATGTCCGTAATTGATTATCTCTGTCAATCTAATTACATGTAGAGTCGCCAAGAATATCATTGTCATTGCCATACTGAAAAAAATGGTTCTGAACCGTTTAGATTTTATTGGGTTTTGGATTTTTCATTTCAGCATGTACAAACTCGGATAAAGAAGTAATCTTATTTGTGGAAGATACAGACTCTGAGAGTAAAGAAACAGCAATGCATTTAGCTAAACAGTTTTTTACAAGCACTGAAAAAAGTATCGTAAGATTGTTTTATTTTAAGAATCGGCATATAACAATTG